ACTTTGATATTTTACTAAAACTTGATGTATTACGTGCAATTATTAATTCTCGTACACATAACAACGTAACAAAAACTTATCAACGCCCATTCTTGCGGTGGAAATTGATTCTTCGGTTCTAAATTTCTTGTAAACAATTTGTTCAGTTCACTAAGTAAACATGCAAGCGTGTACCATCGATGGTACACGTGGCACGGAACGTGTTAACCATCAATTTTATCAACTTCGATGCCTATCTCGCGGATGATCGCCTGTAGGAAACATCGGCGAATGCATGAATCTCGAAGTTTCCTAAAAATCGACTCGTCCCTTACAAGAATACCTCTCGATGGACTTCTAGAGGCACAAACGAGCGCAGTTTATCGTTGTCGAAGCGCCGATAGTTGCCGAAGTCGAAGAAGAAACGAAATTGCGAGCGGAATTCCGCGCGGCGGTCGGAGACAGATAACGCGGAGGATCGTAATTCAATTCGGCTCGACGGTGCGAACTGGTCAGAAAATGATTCCGCGTTTAACCCCGGCGAGCATCGAAGGTCGCGTAGGCAAAGTAATGTCCCACATAACCGCTTCGGATCGGAATTCCCACGGGAATAGTTGCCCATCGCCGCGCGCCAAGTGGGACGATAAATTCTCGTCGGGCGAGGCGGCGCCCGTTATAATTTACAATTAAAAGCCGGATCGGACGGGAGTCGCTTTTACCAAATTATCAGGCCCGATTATTAATTTCGCCGTGTCTCGTAAAGTAGAAAGTACCGCCGCGCCGCGGCGGGCCGGGCACAGCCCGCCGCCGGTCGTTCGCCGAGGGAAATGTTCCGCGCGGCGAAAAAGAAGCCCGGAACTTTTCGCGTTCCGCAGTTTTCGGCGACAGCTTTCATTTACACATTCCCGCCAGGGAACTTTCGAACTACGTTCCGCCGTGCTTCGCACCCTACCGCGGACCGATGCGATTTATGCACGGTTTTCGAGAAAAAAAAAAGAAAAAATCCGCGTCCCGGAACGCCAGCTGCGCGCTGACTTCGCTGCGGAAACTGCCAAAGTCGTTCCCGTATTCAGATAGATGCCGAAAGAAAAGTTTCGACTCGTTAGACCGCGACGCAGGCCGGAGAGTCGACGAAGTCGGCGAAGTTTCGAATGCCTCGGATTACGTCGATACGACGGGACGATTTTCTACATGACGGAATTAGCGGCTATAGAATCCGACAGACTTCGCGGCATGCGTGTGAAAGGAACGCGCTGGACCATGCGTAATTAGTAAACCACCGTTTCGTGACACAGTTCGTAGTCCAACCGAGATTCTACCGCGCGGGCTCGGACAACTTTGCGATCGTTCCAAATCATCCGAGAACTGAAACACGGATGAAGATATTTGGACGTTGTAGAGACAACGAACAAAATTGCATTGTCTTGGAAAATGTTAGGGAGACGTTCCAACGCGATAACTGCACTAAATGGTTTTATATACGGAACACAAAAGTGTTCGTACTCCTTTTAGAACGCGATAACTTTTTCAAGACTGAACCGGATGACTTGAGTCTTTTTTTAGATGATAGAGGGACTTATCTACTAGATGATGGCTGAAAAGGTTTTCTTTTTCTTAAATTTTGCTATTACTTGGAATGAAAAGAAACTTTGACTTTTAACTTTTAACTTTTTTATCTGAGCCTATTAACGAAAATTTAATCATTTTTGCCTTTTGTGCATCTCGGTAACTTGTATTACGATTTTTAAAACTGCAGATTTCGGTCAATATCGTGACGAAACAGCGGAAGACATTTTTTAAATTTTCATTACAGGATAAAAAAGTTAAAAAACGAGAGATTTTTATTTTCTTGCAATTCCAAGTGATAACAAAATTAAAAAAGAAAGCATTTCACTCGCCGTCTAGTAGACTAGACTAATGTGGACTAATAGTCCACTTCTGTGCACAATTTGAGCGTCAATTAGGGAGACATTACTGCACGCCCTTCCTGACATGCTTGCGGCCAAATGTTTGGCAGTGCATTATCGCGGTCCGCAATCTAAAATCACGACGTCCGCCGAGATGGCACAGAGAACCCGGAGAGAAAGCATAAAAGAAAGTATTATCTAGGAAGTCGTACAATAGTATAGGGCTCGTGCAAGAATCACCGAAATCCCGCGAATCCATTGGAACTCTGCGGACCTTTGAGACCTCCGGGACCTCTCGAAGTTTCCAATATCATTATAGCTCGACTCGGCGCTGTGGCTGTGCGATGCCAGTGAATCGAACCGGGACGCGAACTTCAGGTTCGAAGATCATCGACGTCGATTCTGCTCGCCGAGAATAACAAAGCGGGGAAGCGAACCCGTCCTAGAGAGTCTGTGTAGACTCTTCGATCATTAGCATGACGTTTGCCGTGGCTCGAGAGGAAAATAATGCGATCGTCGAGATACTACGCGCTCGGGTATCGAATGCGTTTCGATTTTATGCGGAAGATACCGGGCGGAGATACTGCCTCGTTTCGACGTCGCGCCGGTTCAACTCGACCAGCGAAACGACATCAACGTCTAATAAGTCCGCCGTTATCAATATCGCGGCCATCAAGGTTTTTTGATAAGCCGGATCCCGTTACAAGAACCTTCGATAATTGTTATCGGATCCGCCGCGCTTTCGATATTCATGATCGTGTCGAATGACTCTCGGGATGCTCGTATCGTATTCAGTACCACCGGACTGTGTCCAATATTGATTATTCCCCGGCCTGTGTTGCTACTGCGGCACATAGTCCCTTTTATGACGGCCTCCCTCGGATGCGCCGGCTTCTCGCAAGGGTAGCCAATGACATTCGCGAATTTTCTCTCATTCGATACGGTGTTCGCGACGGATCGTTGCCATCTTTGCGTCAAATATTCCATTTTTAACCAGTTAACTGTGTTCGACGAGTAACAGAAAGTCGTTGGCATTTTCTCTGCCATGGACATTGTCTCGTTAATGTTCCCGCTTTAACCGTAGATTCGTTCCGGAAATTGAACACCGAATTCCTACGTTCGTTCACGCTGTTCAACGTCGTGGACGAGCGTGCCTGAACGCGCGGCGAATTAACAGATTACCTCTGTTCACTTGACCAGTTAGCTGTGTTCGACGAGTATACCCGTCACGGGGAAGTGGCAGTATTTTGTGTTACGACGAGTATACTCGTCGCGCGTAGAAAGTAGCGACCATTGACTGTTTAAATTGGAATTTTTGTGAAAACGAAAACATATTCTGAAATTTCACGATGTTTCGAATATTTTGAGGCCAGACCAAATTGAAACAAACGAATAAAACGTATGAATAATTATATGAATAATTCGCGATGTCGGTGTTCGACGTGCGATGTACCATTATGTATCGTTCCTTGCTTCGCTGAATACCACTCTACAGCAGCGATTTGAATTTTTAACTTTCACAAGTATTTGATTTTTCTTGCGTTTTTCGTTTATTATGTATGCAGTGTATGTTAATGTTGGGCGAATAAGTAAATATTAGTAATAAAATTGTTAATTTTATCAAATAAAACCGTATTTTCGATCCGATATTTCAATTTTGAAGAAATTCTTTTCGGCAAAATACGACGCTGGCAATGTACGATTCGAACGCGATTTCTTGCGCATTTCTTGCACGATTTGGATTTTCGACAGTTTTTTAGTCGATGTCGACTTTCGGAAATTGGATCGATAGTTGATAAGAGCGATCCAATGAATCGATAAATCACTGTCAAGTAAAACTTGTTCTCTAGACTTCTTACAGCAGGAAAAATTAGATCGTTTCACGTCTTTATGGCACCGAACCTCGGCTTTTTACGTGCCGAAACGTGTCCACCAAAGACGCAATCCTCTTCGACGAAGCGGAGAATCTGATCATTCTGATTTTCATTCCAGAATTTGTGGATTGCCACCGCTTTGGGAAACGTTCTGCGAGCGAACGAGGACCTGATACCATGTTCCGGGTTTCTGTAAGTATTTCTCTCGAACCGATTTACTCCTCGAACTCCTTCCCGAACGCGCGATTTAATTTGCAATCGAGCATCTAAAAGTCATCTTTGTCGATGACTCGCAATTGATACAGCTTTGATAACGGGTTATATCTCATTATTATATCATATATATTATATTATTATTATATTTTATTATTATATTATATATATTATATTTATATATATTACATTATTATATTTATTATTATATTATATATATTATATTTATATATATTACATTATTATATTTATTATTATATTATATATATTATATTTATATATATTACATTATTATATTTATTATTATATTATATATATTATATTTATATATATTACATTATTATATTTATTATTATATTATATATATTATTTCAGCACAAATTACTGCACTTTTTTTTGTATGCCTCAGTCGAAAGTTCACATATTGTACAACATATTCTAAGCTTGTCCACGTTTCGGAAATCGAGTTTCTTAACACACTTGGCTGTGTACAAGCCATTAAACGTTTAACGAGAGACAAGGAACATGCGACCGAACGGGCTGCAAATGGAGATGAATTTTATGAACGACGGTTCCAACAGCATCCGATTCTCTGTAATTCACGCGAGCGACGATTTTAATGCGATCCGCGAGTTATTGCCGACTGAAATTTCAAACTCGAGCCAGAAACGTGCATCACAGCGAATTAGGCGACTATTGATCTCGACAACGGGATAATAAGATCGTCGGCAAAGATATCGCATGTACGCCGGACAGCTTATCTGGTTAATTGAACGTTATTGAAATCGAGACTGCCCCCTCCCCCCGCGCTCTCTGCCTGCCCGTTGCACGTATCGAAAACAATACCTGCAACAATTCGATCTCGGAGGTGTACGGCGAGAGAGTTGCGACGCTAACTTTCTTTGTCTTGCGTTTCAGAAACTCCGTGTTCCACGAATGCAACGAGGAAACGGACCTGCTGATGGAAATTTACGACGCTGCGAATTTCGAATTCGGTAAGAAATAATGTTAAAGTACACGAAAATTTGCCAATGCTCGCCGATCGTCAACAACTATAAAAAAAGAGCCGTGACGCTTGAATAATCGTGTTTGCTCTTCCCAAATATACGAAGGTGTTGTTGCACACCGCGATCTTTTTATGCGACTCTCTATTTTCAAGTTTTCTACCAAGAACGAAAATTTGTTCGTCGAATGTCGTTCGTGCGAATAAAACTAGAAAGATCGTTCGCACGAAGACGTCTGGTCTTTGCAGGAAACGATTCTTGAAATACAGTAAATTCTCCCGAATTATACCGAGGAGACACATTTTTATATTATAAAAGTCTAGACGTAAGAAAACTGATAAAAGTCTAACTGATGTACGAGTCGCAAGACTATAAATTTCATAAGCATGAAATGCACTTTGTCATATAAAATGGAAATACCGTAAGTCAGAAAAATTAATTTAAACTCACAGTTAAAATGGCTTCGAGTGCAAAGGGTTAATACGAAAAGTTAGTCGCGCTTCAGCGTTGCAGTCTTTCCTGTACAGAATTTCCATAATAAATATGTGAAATTACGTTTATAATTGGGTTAACACGGATCCTTCCGACTGCGAGATAACGCGTAGCTGGCGTAAGCAAGAAATCTCCTGCTTAACCTTCCAACAACGAGATAACGTCGAAAATTTTTTCGCGGAAAATGGGTCGTGACGTTACACGAAACAATACGGAGCTAAACTTGCATACTAATATAATCGCATATTTGACCAGTTAGCTGTGTTCGACGAGTATCCTCGTCATGGAGAAGTGGCAGACGATGCCAGGAGAACCTTGATTAACCTTTGATATCCGAATTATATGCTATGCGGATGCTTTATTAATGTGATCGATTCGATCTAAAGCGATCCAAGTGCCGAACGATTTGCAGTGCAAGTTAATATTGACCCTTTGCACTCGAGCGGCGATTCCGAGGCGCCATCAAAAATTGTTAGATTACGTTTGAAAATACGTTTTTAACATCATCGAATTTGTTCATATTTAAAAAACTGTGCGGATTGTAATTGTTGCTCGAGTCACAAAATTCAATGTCGCATGCATAAAATGCAATAAATTGTATCAAATGGAAGTACTATAGGTCGGAGAAACTGTTTTAGATTTCGAGTTAAAATCGCTTAGAGTGCGAAGGGTTAAACCTATCGTACTAGTCGAAATGACCGGTTCCACGTTTTTCATTTTAAAATTCTCGAGGTTGAAAAGTGTCTTTATAACTCGTTAATAATTCTCCGTTACAGATTACAATAGAAACAGCGAGACGACCGAATAAATTCAGTCTCGTAATTCTCGCGAAGCAACGCGTGACAGACGTCTCTAGTGATCGGTAGGTTCAACGTCGATGAAAATGATATCTGACACTGTAATTAAGTAACTGTTCCGTTATCCGAACGTC